CTAGATAAGAATAGTTGCTTGAAATTAGGGACAGAATCACGATTAAAATATTAGGTAAGGTATTGGGGCGAAGTTAGACAACTCAAGGAAATTTGTTATGCAAGGGAACACAGAATAAAGTGCTAGAGGAGGGAGAAATGGGATTGAGGGAAAATTTGTTGAGATGGAAAACACAACTGCATGCCTGTATGTTGACGGACATGATCCACAAGAGTGAAGAACTCTGATAATGAGGGGAGAAAAGGAATCGCTGAAGTTTTGTTCTTTTGTTTAAAAAAGGATGAGATCCAGTGCATAAGTGAAAGTTTGGCCTTATTTGTTAAGAGTATGGGCATTTTTTATAGAAATCTGAGGAGACAAATTATATGCTTAAAGACACATTGGGTAGGTAAGTTAGATGATGATGATTACCACATTTGAGCCTTATTTTCAGCTTCTTTCCCATATTGTCTCTGAGTGCACACTATTCTGAGCCCCTCCATTCTGCCCTATGCTGTGACTTCCCTGGATGCTTTGCTTCAATTCCTCCAATTAGTTCTCATAGCAATTCAGAGAGGCATAATTCATCTTCCCTCTATCCGTCACACCAGAGAGATCTTATTTCCATCTTTCCCATATCTAAATGCCCCAAGTCACACATCTGATAAACAGTAGTACCCTTTTCAAATCCAACTGTTTAGACTAAGGTTTAACCATGATAGGTCATAAGAATCACACTCTACCTATGTATAGATTGAATATAGACTTCCATTCAAAAAACTTTTTCAGTTATTATGGGCATGTCTTTATATAGAAATTTTATCATACCTAAATTTAAGAATATCCACACTTTTTTCACAACAGAGGGAGTGATCCTAACTGTATTTCAGGACAATAACTAGAGACAATGAGGAGGATGGATTAGAAGGCAAGAAGCTTTGTCAGAGATCAGATCGGTGATGATGGAGATGACAGAATAAAGGGGGCATAGCTGAGCTGTGGCCAAGGTAGACTTGACAGGACACAATGACTAATGGCAGAGTTGAGAGGCTGGGAGGAGTAAAATATGACTTGGGTTTTTTGTTTGGTCAAAAGGATGGAAGGTACTAACATACACCAAGAAAAGAGAGGAAAATATATTTAAGGAGGAGATAGGATGGTTTGGGGCATGGTAAATTTAAGGTGGCTCCAGGAAGTTCATATGGCTGCATGAAGACAGTTGGGCAAGAATTATTACCTCCAGTTTTCTTAGCGCATACACTGAGATCCAAAGACTACCAGGCTCATGATAAGGTCACAGAGTTAAAGAGCTGCAGATGAGACTAAAATGAATGCCTGCTTCTTTGTGGTAATGAGTGATCTTAGGGAACATAGGCTATATGTGTACCATGTTTATTTCTTTCATTTTAAAGTCAGGTCAAATGATGAAAGAAAAGAGAAACTTAAATATGACATACTTTATTGCTGTGGACTAGAGAGGGAAGCATTTTGAGACACAGCATGAACGAAGTTGTACTATTCCTTCCGCTTATCGTACTGCACTAAAGACCACTCTGGTCAGGCCAAGCTGTATTGCCCTTTTTGAATCCTGAGGGGTTCCTAAGGATCACTATGAGTTTAGAGCACTCACACATTGGAGACACTAGACTAAGCCTCACACTTGAATCCTGGCTTCTCCCCACACACTTTCTACTGGTAACTCAATTGGCACCGGAATACCTGGGACAGCAGTCTACTTTGTTCTTCTACAGAAGAATGGATGGTGATAGCCAGGATGTGTGAACTCAGCCCTGTGAACAAGTGGGTCTCACTGGGCCACTTGCCATTTCTGTCTTTCCTTCTACTTCTGTCACTTTCTTTTTTACTCTCCCTTTCTACTCCTCCCATGCTGTCACCAACCCCCAAAATACAACATCTATGTAGATCCATCAAGCAGATCACATTTCCCTTGGCTGGCAAACTTTACAGAAAGTGAATGCAGTCTTCATTCCAAGGATGAAAGAAGAAGCTGCCACATCCCAGAAACCCCTGCCTACCAAGGGGAGTCCATTTTAGACTGGTTCTAGATAAGAGGCAATTTAATATGGAAGAAAAGATGTGGATCTCAGGATTCAGCCAATTCAGCAGACCAATGTTCATATAGATCCTAGTTGCCCTACCCAAATCCTCACCTCTTGAGGAGCATAATGATGACATTCCAACCTTGTGTGAGACACATAGTAGGTTTGCAGAGTACATTTGTAAATAGGTGTTGTTCTCTACAGAATTTGAGGATTTGGCAACATAGTGTTTCTCTGAAGAAAATTGGGCTTTTACATGCTGATCTCTTTGACTGCCTTAAATTTGGGATACAGAAAACCTAAACATTGATGAGGAGGATAGAAAGTAAAAAAAAAGCCCAAGGAATAGAATGGAAAGGTCTATTAAGAAAGCCACGTGCCTTGCTTTTCTGATTCCTTATTTTTTTAAAGTTTTTATTTAAATTTCAGTTAGTTAACATACAGTGTAATATTAGTCTCGGTGAATGATTCCTTCTAAGTGGAATGTTCACAGAGTGGCTTTATGCTTTAATCTTTAAAAAGAAAAGATTTTATTTATTTATTTGACATAGAGGGCACAAACAGGCAGAGTAGCGGGGTGAGGGAATGGGAGAAGCAAACTCACTGCTGAGCAGGGCACCTGATGTGGGCCTGGATCCCAGGACCCTGGGATCATGACCTGAGTCAAAGTCAGGCACTTAACCGACTGAGCCACTCAGGTACCCCTATCCTTTATCTTAAATAAGATTTCCTAAACACTGAACATATTCAAATATACTTGCTCAACTGTCAATAATTAATGATATATAATAATGATACCAGTCTTATAGGCATTAAAATAAATATTTCCAAATATCATTTCAAACGATATGGCTACTAGGTATTACATGAAAAACTCTTCTGTTATGGCACATCTAAAATGCTGGGCAAATTATTCAAAATCTTTTTTATTTAAAAAAGCGGTTTTTATCTGTAATATATTGGCAGCAAAATAAGAGAATTATCATAGTGAGAAAGCAGACTGTGGAACAGGTATTTGCCTGCGGGTATGTGCCTCTCAATAGAAGTCTGGAGCGAGGAGTTTTAGAACCGGTAGGAGAAGAGAATAGGAAATGAAGCTTGCAGATAAAGTAGGGTGTACGGTCTGAATAGAGAACCTGGCATCAGCCAGGATCCTAAAAGAGCAAACCTCAGTGGGTGAACTAGAAAATGAAATTAGGCTCCTGAGAGAACGGGCGAACATATGATCCCAGCCTTAGCTTAATTGGAAATAGAACAACAACAAAAAAATCTGATAATTCCTTTCCACAAGTCTGTATTTACCTGTGTGAGTTGATATGTTAAAAATGGCAGAAAAAAAAAACAAATGTTATCATACTTGGTGGTCTTTCTCATGTTCAATAAAATATCAACATGAGACTGGTATGGACCGAATAAATCTTAACAAAATTCTGGTTTAACATGGTCTCATTTTGGTAAAGCGCATCCTCCCAAGATTATTCTGTAACACTTGGTCACAAAAATCTCCCTCAGAGAAATTATAGAGTTAACAATCAAGAATCACCCATACATGAAAACAAACAAGCCATTATGAGGAAAATTCAGCAGGAACAAATCATTGAACTAGACTCTCAAAGACTACAGATATTAGAATAATCAAACATGGGATACAAAATAAGTTTGATACATTTAAAGAAATAAAACAGGTATTACACAGTTTCTTCTTTTATTAAATTATGTTTTTTTTTTAATTTTTATTTATTTGAGAGACAGGCAGGGGCAGGGGCAGAGGGAGAGGGAAAATCTTAAGCAGACTCTGAGCTGAGCATAGAGCGTGATGTGGGGCTTGATCTCACAACCCTGACATCACAACCTGAGCTGAAACCAAGGCTCAGATGTCTAACTGACTGTGCCACTTAGGGGCCCTCACCATTTATTCTTATAGAAGAAATTGGAATTTACCCAATATCTATGTTAGGCTTACAAATCAAACTTCAAAGTCTTAAAATCATGAAACATTTCAAAGAGAAAGTGTTGAGAAAAATCAAGAATAATGGATTGTGATCTTGAAACTAGACATATACAAAATACACTTGTCTATAAGTGACAAGTAAAAAGAGGAACAACATGGGGCTCCTGGTTGGCTCAGCAGGTTAAGTGTCTGACTCTTGATTTCAGCTCAGGTCATGATCTCAGGGTTCTGAGATCCAGCCCTTTTTCAGGTTCTACACTCAGCACAGAGTCTGCTTGAGATTCTCTCCCTCTCCTTCTGGTCCTCCTCCCAAGCTCTCTCTCTCTAAAATAATAAATAAATAAAATAGTTTAAAAAAGGGAGCAAAACAATAATTTCTACTTTAGATACTAAAGATATTAGATATCTTTAGATACTCTGGTATTATTAGATACTCTGATATGATCTTTACATATGCAACCTAATTTAATCCTAACAAAAACTTTGAGAGTTAAGCATTATTATTCACTTTTTATTATACAGTAAAGTCAGGCTTGGAGAAGTTACGCAGTTTTCTTGAGCTCGCATGATATCAATGACACTCTGGCTACTGTGGTTCTTTCATATCCTGCTCTGTTAATATACAGCCTAATTCTGTTCTCCGCTTAGCACTTTAAAAAATATAAATAAATAAAAATAAAATAAATAAAAAAATAAATAAATAAATAAATAAAAATAAATAAAATAAAAAATATAAATAAAATAAAAAAATACCTGATTATTAAATATTCACATGCTTGTCTTTTTTAAAGGAAGTTTCTTATCAAAGACTTTATTTTATTCTATAAACAATCCCACTTTAAAAAAACACACATTGTCCATGGAGATATATTATCTCCGCTTACAGATGAGCGATGGGCAGAGCTGATTCCACATGGTCTCCAACGCCCCTGCTCAAGATCCCCTGCAGGTGCCTTTATGCCACAGTAGACATCTAAAGAGATGGCAGATTATGTACTGGTGGCACTTACCTGTTGTCACCTTCTCTGGAGAAAAAGACCGTGAAGGTTTGAATGTTCCCTTTTGCGTCTGCAGGTGGACGCCAGCTGAGACGGACAAACCGACTGGAAACCAACACGGGGACCACATCTCTGGGAGCAGAAGGAAGGACACTGGAGCTTGGGATAGCTAGGGAAGAGGAAGAGGAGGCTGTGAGAGAGGTGTTGGTGCCATAGATGGGAAATGTGCAGGAAGGCAAAACCAATCTATTAGCAAACATAGAATGGTCCATTCTAAAGGAAGGAAGAAAAACAAGGGAAAGCAAATGGTGAATGGAATCAAAGATATATTAGGATTTCTTGGACCTTATGAAAATGGCTAATTAATAACATATATGACTCTCTTGCATACTTGTCCAATTTCCATTACTCATGGGATCTGTAACAATTAAAATGTTCTGTTTAGGCATGACACAGGGAAACATAGCCATGGATAAATGCCTCAGGTAACCAAGCAGTTACTGTAAAGCCTTATTCCACTCCGAGCCTGTTTACCCTGTTTTAGATACAATTTAAAGGAAGAGGAAACCAAAGTTGATGAAGCTAACCAAGAGCAGAAAGAGTTCTTACAGATGACCTGCTAGAAAGGAACTGACAGAAAAAAAATTCTACCAGACATAAAGATACACAAATGTTCTATACTTGTAGAGTATCTTTGCATGTATGGCAAAATTTAAGAATTGTTATTCACAGGAATAAATCATCCACAATTGAAGAACTCATTTTTTAAAAAATATTTGGGGCATTTACAATCTATAATGGAATTTTCTATTAAATGTGTATATTCATAATTCATCTTCTTATTTTTTCAGGTTCCCAAGGGTAGGAAACATATGTTTCATTTTGACAGATGATTTCTAGCCCCAAATCACAAGGACTCATTTGCCTACATTTAATCTTCAAACTGGCTTTTGTGGGATATTTTCTCTAGTTCTTACCAAAATGAGTCTTCGTCCTTGCATTCACCTTCTCCAGGGGCTGGCTGAGTCGCTATTCCTACTGTGCACTACACTCCTGTTAGCAGGAAAATCCACTGGGGTCAGGGGGGCTGTATTACTTCCTAATGGTTCCAGAAACATTATCAATTGACAATACATACCCTATATAGAGAGAAAGAAGTTTTAACGAGCTGCAGAAATTTTCCACAGTTGTTTCTGGCTCCATATCTTCTTAGCCTGCTTCTTTATAGGTAAAATTTCCCCTTGCTTTTTTGGTCAACCGAGTATTTGAAACAAAAGGCAGACTGGCAGCAAGTTAGTCAATCTTATGTGGCACAGTGGTGAGGAGAGGGAGAAGACTGATGCCTGGATATGTAGCATCTGTCTCAAAAATGTGGGTGATATTGAGCCTTCTGACAAAAACCTGCACTTCCACACACCATGGACATCTCAAACTAGTACACTTATGTGAATTTATCCTCCCCACCCCCTCACTGTCCACTCAGCCTACTTCTCCACCTGGGTTGCTCAATTCAGTTGTATCTACACTTTCCTCACAACTGTATAGCCCAGAAATGCAAAAGGTATCTCCTACCCCTGACTCTCTCTCTCACTCAGCCTTTCTAGGAGTCCCCCAACCCCGGACATCTGGTAAACCTACCCCATGTTAGCTCTACCACTACACCATCATTCTGTTTGCCACAGTTATCTCTGCTTTTTCCAGCTCCTCTGCTTTCCTTCCACTCATCTCCCTCAAATGTACTCTGTGTACAGACAGCATTCTGAATAAGCTTATAAAAAGACACATCTGGTCATATTAATCTACTATTTATTTTTCCTCAGTGTCTATTCTTTACCTCAGGGAATCTCCAAACTTTGAAATGGGTCTATAGGCCTGGCTCCTGTTTATCCCTTTTCATAGTTCGGCTTCCTCCACAAAGAGGCTTAAGACACAGATTGAAGCACAAAGAGTTGATCTGGAAGGTGATCCAAGCAAGTCGGGGAGTGAGACGGCAGGGAGTGAAAGCTAGAAAATGTGACTTATCTGGCAGTTGCACTGTGGGAAACTGGATGGCAGCTCCACGTGGGGCTCTGCGGGCCAGTGTGGCACCGGCCTCTAGGCTAACTGCCTTGAAAGATGCACGCTAAGGTATTTATCCAACTACTCCTCCACCACCGATTGAGGGTGATCCCAAGGGCCATCCTGCATAACAGCCTAGTGTGTTCCTGTTGCCAGAAAAATACCACTTTGGGGAGAGGCTTGCAAAGTTTCCACAATAAGCAGCATCCATTACCTCCACTCATCCAAAAAATATTCATAGAGTGCTTATCTAATGCCAGCCCTTCTAGGTACAGAGAAGTCAATGGCAAAAAATAGATGACGGCATTCCTCCTGAAGCTCACACGCAGGCTTCTTGGATTTTCTCCTCACCATCCCCCATGACTGCCCTACAGATGGGGGGGGTGTGCTGAGTTCATAATAAGGTTTGAGGGAGGAACATGCCGCGCAACAGCATGAATACCTAATCATCACACCTATGAATGACAAGAGGATCTGGAGGCTCCCTGGCTTTTTGCTGCTTGCACTAGGCAGGCTCTCCCCATGTAGATTCACTGGTGACTCCCTGAAGCCTTCCCACAGCAGCTCCCACGCTAACAGACCCATCTCGTCCACCTAACTCCTGCTGTCCCCCTTCACTTAGTCTAGTGTTATTTCCTCTGGAAAGAATGACCTAAAGTATTTGTAAAATATCTAACAGATGATAGTTAAGATCTATAATATTTAAAAACAAATCCAAAATGAATAAAAAATAAAGAATCTTATTTTAAATTAGGGTTCAACCTGACAGTAAAAAAAAAAAAAATGTGCATTAAAATAAAATCTAAAAAGTCTGTCAGAATAAAGTGTATTAAAATAAAAAAGTCTGTCAGAGTAGCAAGACTTTTAAAGAATGTTAGTATCTAGGGTTGGCCAGGATGTGACACTTTCTTACACTGTCAGCTGAAGTTTGAAAAAGTACAGTCTTTTTAGAGGTTAATTTCACAAAATCCTTTAATATGAATAATATTCATGTCATCTGACCATTCTCAGGTTTATAAATTTATCATCTAAAACACCCCAAGTAACCTCGTTATCCATGCATCCTGGCAAAATCATAGCTCATTTTCTCAAAATGTAATCCCTATACATCTTGCCAGTTTAAAGTAAATGGGATTATTACTAGATTTTTTTTTAAACAAAAGATTTTCTAAAAAACAAAACATGATCCAGGATGACCTATATAAATCTTTTGAGAGTTCTCAAGAAGTTAGACAAATTAGTTTTAAAAGAACAGGAGAAAAAAAATTTCAATTCCTTTTTCCCCAAATGCACCTCACTTAGAGATGGTATCACATCAAAAATTAGGTGGTTTCCCCACCTATTCAGGGGCTGCCAAGAGAGAGAGCGATGGGAGTCTGTACAAGGATGCTTTTCTCCTCAGGCTTCCAGAAGTGCCTTCTCACAGAGCCAGTCTAGACGCAGATGACACAGATAAAGCTCAGAATAGAATTAATCATAGACCCTTTTACCTCAATTTAAACAGTCCTCCTATGAAAAGGAACGGACACATTTTTAACAAAGGGATGGCTTCCTTCTTTATACAGGGAATTAATTTTGTTCTTACTAATCCTCCATGCTTTCTCTCTACAGTTACTCGTCTCCACAGAAGGTCTCAATAAGGAACTAATCAGGACTTTTTTTCTTTGCTCTTGGAGGCCTAATCTCCAGTCTGGCCCTAATCTCCCTGGCCCATTACTGTTGCCATGGTTACGGCTTCTTTATCTGTTGTCATGGAGAAGAGGAGGCAAATTTACCATACTATAACATAGTCTTTTTTAAAAAATTTATTTAGAAGAATCTCTTTATCAAAGAAAATTATCATAATAAAATCCAGAAAAAGGAAATGATTTCTGAAAATAACAGAGATTCAAAGAATAGTTTTGAAACTTTGGTTTCTAAGTTCCTAGTCACTACTACTACTACTAGTATTATTACTAGTATTTTATGATGACAGTGCAATAGCCTTGGTAACAATTACATTATTGGGTTAATTTTTCTATAAAGCCATGTCTGCCTAGATACCAGAAAGTTTGTTTCTCTTAGAATTTTACTATATAATGTTTACAGATATTAATTTTTCCTTAACCTTATTAACTGCCTGACCTCTAATCCCTATGAGACACATGAATTATGATTAGATGTATTCACAAAAACATTTAATTTTCATTAATATCAAACAAGCAATAGGCTTACTTTCTTGTCATTCCCCATATTGTTAATGAAAATACTATAAATGTAGCCACGAGATCAACTAGATGTTTTATTCACATCATCTCCTTATTAGCCTGAAGATTCGAGTAAAATATAAATGGGTAACATTAAGGAAATTAAAGGAACATTTAATTGTTCTCGGCGCAAATATTATTTCTTTTCCTTTTGTATTTTTTTCTTATCATTGTTCCCTTGACCTCAAACTCTAGCTTTTTTTTTTTTTTAAAGGTTTTATTTATTTATTTGACAGAGAGAGAGATCACAAGTAGGCAGAGAGTCAGGCAGAGAGAGAGAGAAGCAGGTTCCCCGCTAAGCAAAGAGCCCGATGCGGGGCTCGATCCCAGGACCCTGAGATCATGACCTGAGCCGAAGGCAGTGGCTTAATCCACTGAGCCACCCAGGCGCCCCCAAACTCTAGCTTTTAATTGTCTAAATGAAGAAGCAGATAAAATTTACATTTTGCTTTAAAGTTTTTATATTTCACAAAGTAATTTTGCAAACTTGCCAAAAAGATGCTCAGCAGTATAAGGTTGAAATTACAGAGAACGACAATTTTTTCTAAGGTTTCATATTATTTTCAATATTCAAAGAATCATGGCTTTCTAGCCAGTATATTGAGAACTTTAGTAAAACAAAGAAATGTGAATTAAAAAAAAATAATGATTTGAAATGACTTTTTAATTTTAAATTAATATGAGATAAAAGTTAATGATCTCCATAATATTTCATTAAATCTTAATCTTTACATAAAAGAATTTATTGGGTTAGTCTCTAAAATGGAATAATCAATATTTATTGAATGTCTATCAAGTTCCTACTGTTATGCTTGATGTGAAGAATTATTTTTAATTGCTTCTGTGCATTTTAGCGAAGATCAAG